CTTACTATAAATTTATGTTAAAAAAAAGCTTAAAAACCAAAGTTCTGTTGTTATGATGTAAAATGTCTTTCAGTTTTGCATTCTGCATGTCTTTTTTTTTTTAAGATTTTATTTATTTATTTGAGAGAGAGAGAGAGAGCACAAGAGGGGGGAGCAGGAGAGGGAGAAGCAGACTCCCTGCTGAGCAGGGAGCCCGATGCGGGACTCGATCCCGGGACTCCAGGATCATGACCTGAGCCGAAGGCAGTCGCTTAACCAACTGAGCCACCCAGGCGCCCAGCATTCTGCATGTCTTTGAACAGTAGAATCCATGGGTTTCCCTTTTCCTTAGAAAATGAAGGGAATTAATTAAAGAGTGGCTTTCCTTATTGGTCCTAAATCTCCGCAGGTATCATGGGACGTACCTGTGCTTATAGGAATTCACTCTGCCTTGTGATCTCCCAGAAGGATGAGCTGACACCTCATTCATAGAAAGCAGAGGAGAGGCCTGCACTTTTAAGGAATTACATGTCATTCAGAGGGCTGAGTCTAAGTTTCCAGGAAGTCTGAAAGTGGCAAGAAACAGACCAAGGAGGGAGCCGGGGGTCAGGTCACAGAGGGGAAGCTTCCATTTCATGCTGGAAACCATGCAGGGTATTTGAAATATTTTAAACAGAGCGAGAGAGAGACTGATTTGAGCTTTAGCAAAATCACTTCGGTTGCCACGCGATGCGACAGATTGAAGAGAGCAAAACTGGAAGGAGAAACAGTTGACAGGACACTCTTCTACAGCCGTCCTGGCAAGAAATGATGAGGGCCTGACCTAAGACCGTGGCAGTGGGAACTGTGAGAAGTAGATACACTTCATTTCAAATATACAATAGATGCAGATGAGGGGGAGGGAGGAGTCAAGGGTGATTCCCATATTTCTGGCTTGGAAGCTTCATAGGTGGGGATGCTTTTTACTGAGTGGAGAACATAGAAGGGGGAGCAGGGGCACAGGGATGGATCTAATCCAATACCAAAGGTATTCCCTAATCTATTGCGCATTTAATATGTCCAGAGGAGAATGACAAGAAGAATCCAAGATCGCAAAGGGCCTGGCTGTAGGAAGAAGGGGCTGCATCAGTGAGACATTGTCTCTCTAGGATGCTAGAAAGGGGCCTCCGGGATACAGTTTCTGCCTACCTGAAAGATGGGACCATGCCCGAAAAAAGGGTCTTGGGTCAAACAGGTTGTCATTACCAGCGAGCCTGTCCATGGAGCCCCTGCTGCTGAAGGGAGTGAGCTAGGACCGATGATGCCCAGGGAAGCGGAGCCACAGAGCCAGAGACTGGGAGGAAACCAATCCAGCAGGCCGAGGGCATGGGAAGCAGTGAGGAGGTGAGCAGCGCAGGACAAGGCATTGATGTTGCAGAACATGAATTGTTCAGCCAAAATTCCCTGCACTCATCACTAGGATGCTCTATTGGGCTGGGGTGGGACCTCAAAGAGGCTGGAATGAGCCAGGAAGCGAGGACACAAATTAAGCCCCTCCAAACTGAAAGCCCCTCCACCATGCAGACTGTTATCTACTTTCTGTCATCACCATCCAAGAGGTTTTGGGTGCTCCACCAAAGATCAAGACCTCGACACCAGGATCTTTCTGATTCTTTCCTTCCTGTTAGTATGTCAACTCCATAGTGAGACTTTGGGCATAACACACACTGTTAGTCAAGTCAGTGATTTATTTATTCATTCCTTCACCAAGTATTTATTAAGCTCAACTATGTGTCAGGCATTGGGGTTATCATTGGAGATAACCTGCCAAATAACAGACAGTGAAACATAAAACGACCAACGCCATCTGTGTGATCCCAGGAAAGTCATTTTTCCCGGGAACATCAATTTACCACCTAGGAAATTTCTAAGACCCACTCAACCAACTCAACCATCTGAAAGCCCCCTTATATTATTTATTCAACATACACACATTAAGCACATACTTTGTATACAAGTATGTTATTTTCCGATCCAGTAAAAGCACATATGACAAAGGGCTATTTTCTGATTTGGGGGTTGATATGGAAAGACTTACAAATATATAAGCACTAAGATAAAATTTTATATTCAGTAAAGCACCTTTAATAAAAAGAACAAAAATATAAGGAATAGATATGACATCAGACAATTCATCATGTTACAATCATCATGTGGTAGCATTTGGTTTAAATTAACCAATAACACATGATATGAATTTGATTTAAAATTAACAGGACATGGTCTAAATTTTTGGAGAGAAAATTGCATAAGTAACTAATTACAACGCAATGTGGCCGGTACTGTAATTATAGAGATGGATAGTAAGGTCCCATATCAGGAAAGGGGTTGATTCAGCAGTTTCCAGTTCCTTCTTCTGGCCCTCGCAACTCATAGCATCCAACTCTCAAAAACTGAATCACAAGTTTGAAGGGGGTTCCCCAAGAAGTGAACGAGAGAGTGCAGTTCAGGGTGTCAGCTGCGGGCTGGGGAAGAGGGGGCGGGTGGGGTGGAGGAGGCACTTTATGTGATCTAGAGTTTCCACTGAAACGAATGATAGACTCCTTTTTTGGAATTAACAGTAACAAGGCAAGACACTTAGATGCTGAAGCCTCAGCGTAACCTGCCATTGTCCTTGATCTTGCCTTTGCCTCTCTCAGGACCAGCATTAGCAATCCTGTGATTAGCAATCCTTCCTAGAAATGCATTTTCTAGGTTACAGGGTATAAATAATTTTAGGCTGCTGACATATTAACACCCACATCGAATGTATCTTTCAGATCCTCATCTAGTGTTAACCCAGAGCCTCTAGTCACCCGGTGACTGTCTGACGACAGGAAGAACAATGGAACTGTGATCTCATGTAAAGAGAGATGTAAAGAGAGTCCGTATGGTTGTTTTGTTTGTTTGTTTCATCAAGATTTTATGTATTTGTTTGTCAGAGAGAGAGAGCACAAGCAGGGGGAGCAGCAGGCAGAGGGTGAAGCAGGCTCCCCTCTGAGCAGGGATCCTGATGAGGGGGGCTCCATCCCAGGACCCTGGGATCATGACCTGAGCTGGAGGCAGACGCTTAACCCACTGAGCCACCCAGGCGTGCTGAGAGCCCATGCGTTTTAGGCAGGAACCTTACAGACACAGGAAGGACAGAATTCCTAAGGTGTGACCTCACTTTGCTCAAGTCTTATTTCCACCATTGTTCTAGCCCCTTCTGGTTTGGCCCCAGTTTAGCTTCCTCATCCCTGTTTGCTCCACCACAGTGCAGCTACATTGAATTGCTCGCTCCTCGCTCTGAACTGGCAAGTCCACACCCGTGACTGCACCAGCTGGACCTCTACTGCCAACCCCCGCCCCCTGCCATTTATATGTGTTCGAATCCTGTGTACCTTTCAAGACCCAAGAAAAGTTCCATCCCTTCTGTGAAGCCTTCCCCAAATCCTCCTGAGGCAGGTCATTTCTTCCTCCTCCTGGTGCCATGAGCCTCCATTAATTTTTCTCCTAGGAACCTTGGGGACTTTCTGCTAAGTTCTGTGGTTACTTGTTTATATACTCTACCTGCCCCTATCAGACTGAGAGCATCTGGAGGGCAAAGGCCAAGTGTGATTAGGTTTATTAGTTATGTGATAATAAAATAATAAAAGAAGAGAAGAAATATGTAAATCTGGCTAAAAGGAGACCCTTTCACACCACTGAAATTATGAATTGAAAAGAACAAGAAAACTGCTTTGAATTTGTCATTATTTATGTAAATATCACACAGGTTCCTTAAAAGAGTTCAGAGAAATGGAAATCAAAGCTTCATGTTAACAAAGGCCATTGGACAGAAATTTTAGTATATCAAAAATTTCTTTCAAACTAGACAATTGATAACAACTACTTTCCAAATGGTGATGTTGTAAATGTTTTAAAACAAATGTGTTCATAAATTGGTAGGCTGACCAGGGAGGTAATACATTCTCACTTAAGAAAAAAAATTGAGAAAAAGGGGAAAACAAAAAAATTAATCACCCAAAGACCATAGACACAAATACAGCTACTATTGATGCTTTGGGACATTTATTCCCAATGCTTTTTATTTCTCCGTGCCTAGTGTTTGCATATATATCCCATATATATATATGGTTATAATATTTGCCATACATGTGTGGATACATATATATACATATATTTGTATAATTCTTCATCTTACCTTTTTATAACTGATGTTATGATATATTTATGCTATTTCACTTCATTCAGTCTAACGAATGAAGTGAACAATCTAGCATTTATTTTATCCTTCCCTAATAGAGGAGAATTTAGGTTTTCTTATTTTAGAATCGTACATGATGCTGAGTCAGATATCTTTATATTTAAAGATGCCTCCGTGTTTGGGTTTGTTTCTTTAGAACTTCTTCCTAGAAAAGCATTTTCTAGGTTATAGGGTATAAATATTTTTAGGCTCCTGACATATTAAGACCCACATCGAATGTATCTTTCGGATTCTCATCTAGTGTTAACCCAGAGCCTCTAGTCACCCGGTGACTGTCTCACGACAGGAAGAGCAATAGAACTGTGGTGATCTCATGCTTCTAAGTCCCCCAGCGAGAATTCCCCAGTTCAGTTCCTCGCATCCAAGGCAGGTGTGCGGCACCCTCTGCATCACACCATCTACCCCGTCCGCGCGGCTAGAACAGCTGAGGAAGCACAGAAGTCGCAGCTCTGTGGGAAGGACAGGGCTGGCAAGTTCATGTATAGATCAGTTCTTATGGGAAGAGCCTGGCTAAGAATAGACTTGTGTCAACACATACCCCTCTCCTCCTGCTCACGGGGGAAACCATTTCCTCACAAGAAACCAGAACAAGTCATGAGTTTCGGGCTGAAACTTAGAGCTCAGAGAAGCTATTCTTGGATATCCTGAACCCCTGTGGTCCCCTAGGACCCTGAGTTGTGCAACACTCAGCGTGATGACACCACTGTGCTTAAAAATTTCCCTCCACACCCCCGGATTCCATTTCCCTTTCCACCAGGGCTGCCTATAAAGAGCAGGGGAGATCTGTTCACCCTCCAGAAGGACGCAGGCAGCAGTGAGAGCCCAGGCCCACCTCTGCGGACAAAAGAGCCCACACGCCGTGCACTGCTCAGCATCATGGAGGTCCCCGGGGCTGCCCTCGCCGTCCTCCTCTGCACCATGGCCCTCTGCAGCCAGGTCTTCTCTGCACCATGTGAGTCTCTGTTGTCGCCACAGCTGTCCCCACTCCCTGTCCTCTGCAGTCTGTGGACCACACCTATTTCTGTCTTGTGGCCTTGGGAGCCCCCAAGAGAAAATGGGGAGCTTCTCAAAGGGCTCGAAAACATCATGGCTTTTCTCTTCAAGACTTTTACTTTGATCTTTATATAGGAGTCTTAGCTATCCCAGTCCCCAGATCTGAGAGCCAGGGGGAGGTAGGGGAGTTGGAGTTCCATTTTACAGATGGCAAAATAGAGACCCTAAGCAAATGAGTTTGCAAGAGGCAGGATCCAAGCCTGGTGACTTCCCGATGGGGTCATTCTCCCCCTCACTCACCCGAGGTCCCCCCAGCACTCTGTCCCTTGGATGTCGTAAGAGAGATGTCCACGGTTTCTCTTTTGCTGGGGTATGACTTCTTGAACCAGGCGAATTTTCCAGAGAGAGATAAGAGCAGTCTACTTGGATGTTTGGATCATATCAAGAAAGACAGCCCACCACAAAGAGTCAAGGAGAAAGAAGGACACAAGACAAAAGCCAGAACAGAGACAGGCATATTTCTAGGCAAAGACGCCCAGGGCTTTCCAGTGACCCTGTCCCCCAGCCCGCACCCGGAGCAAAGCTGTTTTCCTCCGAGGCTTCCTCACCCTCCCAGGGGTCCAATCTCAGGTCTCACTTTTCCTTCTGAACTGTGACTCGGGCTCATTCTCGCTCTTTCTCCACAGTTGGTGCTGACACCCCAACAGCCTGCTGCTTCTCCTATGTCTCCAAGCAGATTACACGCAAGTTCATAGTCGACTACTTTGAGACCAGCAGCCAGTGCTCCAAGCCTGGTGTGATGTAAGTGCTAGTCTTGTTGCCCACCTCTGGGGGAGACAGGGAGGGTCCGGAGTGGGGGCATAGAGTGGCCAGGGGCACCAGCCTGGAATGGCGCAGCCCTCCGTCTCTGAGGTCTAACCTGATCTGGCCGGGGGCTTGCAAAGTCAGGAAGGATTGGCCCAGCGCAGAGGGAAGGGAGGGAGAAAGGAGCTGGCAGCGGGAACCCCTCGGGCGGGGCGGGGCCTGAGCCCGCGAGAGCAGGACCCCCTCGGGCGGGGCGGGGCCTGAGCCAGTGAGAGCAGGACCCCCTCGGGCGGGGCGGGGCCTGAGCCAGTGAGAGCAGGACCCCCTCGGGCGGGGCGGGGCCTGAGCCAGTGAGAGCAGGTCTCTAGACTGAGACGGGCAGAGGGTCCCTGAGAACGTGCGCATGCCCGGAGCTGCCCAGGACGGAGAGTGGGGTGCGTGGGCCCAGAATTCTCTTGCTGGATTCCTCAGTATATAATTTTTCCACCCCTCTCGGCAGCTTCCAGACCAGAAAAGGCCGCCAGGCCTGTGCCGACCCCAGTGAGGCCTGGGTCCAGGAGTACGTGACCGACCTGGAGCTGAACGCCTGAGTGGCCTGGAGGCTTTGAGAACCCAGTGACCTCAGTGGGCTGCCTGGGGAGCAGAGGTCTCAGCCTTGGAAACACCCCTGCAACCTCCACAGCTACCTCTCCTGCGTGCGGGTTGTTGCCAAACAGCCACACTCTGGGACTCTTTCTAACTTAAATTCCAACTTATTTATGCTATTTAATTTTTCTTATTTATTTTCAATGTCATGCTCTGGGACCGTTCGCTCCGAGAGACGTACCTTCCTCACCACCCTCCCCTTCTCCCTTCACTTGCACTGTGATTGATGACGATTGCGTGACCTAGTTTATTTAGTCTTAGTTTATTCTAAGCAGAAGTGGCACCCGAGCCACCAGACTGACATATGTGTATCGGATGTTTCTGTTCAGTGCTGTGTCCAGCCCCGAGAAATAATAAAGATGGTCTTTTCAAAAGGGAACTGGCTTTGAGTTTGGTTTTGTCTGTCCAGAAAGTCAGAATCGCTGGCCGAAAGGAATAATGGGCAAAAAATAGGCAGATGTGAAATGGAGGGAAATCTGGATTTCTGGATCACTGAAATTATGAATGTTTCATAAATCAAATCATAATATACATGCTGTAGGAAAATTCACTATGCCAATGGATACTTAAGAGTATTCATAGTGCATATTTACCATAAATCATGATTTCTTAACAATCACTAAGTTACTCGAGACCTACTCCAGGTTGAGTGCTTTTTTTTTTTTTAAGATTTTATTTATTTATTTGACACAGAGAGAGACAACGAGAGAGGGAACACAAGCAGGGGGAGCGGGAGAGGGAGAAGCAGGCTTTCCGCGGAGCAGGGAGCCTGATGAGGGGCTCGATCCCAGGACCCCGGGATCATGACCTGAGCCAAAGGCAGACGCTTAACGACTGAGCCACCCAGGCGCCCCCAGGTTGAGTGCTTTTTAAGCAGGGTCCTTTGATCCTCACAATGAAACAGTACAGTTTAAATACTATTAATATCCTCATGTGATACAAGAGTAAACTTTAACCGGGCTCAGAGAGGTTAAGCAACTTGGCCAAGAGCACACAGCAAGTACATGGTACGGCTGAGTTCCAAAACTAGACTTTGATATAACTACAGACTCACTCATAAACACTAGCAAAGTTATGTCCCCAAACACCATCCAGCTGTCCCCAAATCACAAGCAATGATTGTTTAAGACATTCACATCAGAGGGGCACCTGGGTGGCTCAGTCGGTTAAGCATCTGCCTTCGGCTCGGGTCATGATCTCAGAGTCCTGGGATCAAGCCCCATGTTAGGTTCCCCACTCATTGGGGAGTCTGCTTCCTCTCCCTCTGCCCCTGCCCCTGCTCCCTCTTGCTCACTCTCTCTCAAATAAATAAAATCATAAAAAAAAGACACTCAGGTGTGGACCTAGGAATTGATACCTCTACCAACCTCATCAGGTGTTCCCCATGCACGTTAACAGCTGAGAACCATGGAAATACTACAATTCTCCACTCCCTTCCAAATTCAGTGTTTTTCTGCATAGAGTAACAGGGATATCGTACCATATTTCTGTAGAATCCGTGCTCCACAAAGTAAATGACTAATGTTAGAGGAGGAAAAGACAACCAGCCCACGTGTGGAGCATGTAGGTTTATACTATAAGCCTGTTTCTAGGTTAACAGTGAAAGCTGAGCTACTTAATAGATGGGTTGCTAAGTCATAGTTTTAACTATAAGAAATGTACACTGAGCCAGAGCCCTTTCTGCAGAAGAGAAATTCAAAAGACTCATGCAAAACCAAACATGTATTCATTTTTGTGATCCATGATTATTTCGTTTAGTGTAGAATAATCTAATTTTTGTATCCAAAATCGGTTTAGAATTGTAGTGATAAAACTCTTTAGAGTACAATTAAATGCTACTATGAAGCAAACATTAAAAGGTACATAGTATTTGACCTAGATAGCACTGACCCTGATTTCATATCTAGGAATGCATTTTGTAGCAACACTACTAAAGGACAGGAATATGTAGGCACAAGGATATTCTTTGCAGCACGGCTTGTAAACAGCAAACTAATAGAAACAACCATCAGCAGAGGATTAAGTCAGTAGAGGATTGAGATGCCCATCAATGGAAAATTCTGCAATCAGTAAAAAGAATAACATATCCATATCTACGGAAATTATGCATCATATCATGTGCAAAAGGTGTATGTGCTTACATCTAATATAAGCATATCTAGTCGACATGCATGCTACAGAACTGTATATATAGAATAATGTTACTTTTGTTTTTTTGTTTAAAGCCATATATACATATATATTTATGAGGGCAAATATTTGGCAAGATATATGTCAAGTAGCTAACTGTGGTTTCTTAGAGGAAATGAAGATTATTATTTTTTAGTAATGGATACTTCTATTTATTTCCTGTAGTTCTCTTTTATTTGTTTTTCAACGAGGACACATTGCTTACCTCGCCTTTCTTATTTGACCCTATCCTTTGATTGGTGATACTCCATCCATTGGAATAACTCTCTGGTGATTCTGAGTTGACACAGAAGATAGAGCTCATCATGGCCAGTCATAACAATTTTGATGCCATCATGGTTTTTATATAGGGAGGGTAATGAGACAAACAAGTCATTTGCCCAAGACTTTCATATCTCACACACACACACACACACACACACAGCTCCTCTCAGGCAACATTTTACAATCCCCTTCCACTATGAGGAGCCCCATTTCCCTAACACCATTACCACTCACACCCATGATAAGTGTGTAGGTACTATCAGAAGAATGAGGGGCGCCTGGGTGGTTCAGTCATTAAGCATCTGCCTTTGGCTCAGGTCATGATCCCAGGGTCCTGGGATCGAGCCCTGAATCGGGCTCCCTGCTCGGCAGGAAGCCTGCTTCTCTCTCTCCCACTCCCCCCTGCTTGTATTCCCTCTCTCGCTGTCTCTCTCTCTCTGTCAAATAAATAATAAAATAAAAAATCTTTAACAAAAAAAAAAAAAGGAGAATGAGAGGAACAGCCCTTGTCCCCAAAGAAGCAGTGAAATTGTCATCATTTCTTCTCTATTCGTGTCCAGCATCTTGAGACAACGAAAATCTGCTTATTTACACTGAATGATTTCTCAAGGTCCAGCGACCCAAAGCCAAAGGAGGAGCTTAACCAGGTCCAGCTTTCCCTAAACACAAGCATTGTCAACAGCATAAATAGAACGAGGACCCCTGTGCCGGAAAAGAGAGCATGGAAATAGCATTGCTAACCAGCTTATGGAGCACTACAGAGTCTGAGACGTGGCTGAGATCCTTGGTCAGGCTCTCTGGTCGACCTCCCTGGCGAATGTCCTCCCTGGACTCGTCTGAGATATGCACGGGGGAGGAGCCCTTCTCTGGGGGCTGCCTACTCCTGTCCGTGTGAGCTAAGAGCCCGAGGTTTGCCTTCGGTGTTGAGCAATCAGCGGTCATTTCTGGCTGGTCTTGTGGTTTCTTTGGCAACGTAACCCTTCTCACGATAGGAGGTTTCTGATCTCTCTGCTTCTGAGCAATTCCATGGGTTATCTAAAAGCAGAGAGCAGAGAGCTGGTCCAGTCATATATTTTGCACGTTAACTGGGGAGTGAGAATGTGAACTCCGCAGCACAGGCCTCCGTCCTGCAGCCACCCCTCCACCTCTACCTCCCAGCTGGCTGGTGACAGACCTCTGCCTCCACGTCACCCCTGCAGAGGTGGGGCAATGTGGGGAAGTGATGAATAACTGATCCTCGCCCCAAGCCATGTCCTCCCTGCACCCTCACACAGAGCTGACTGTCCTTATTAAGTAAGGGAGATAAACATTTCATAACAGAAGGTGGGGAGTGGGGGGTGAGGAGTGCAGTTAGACCCCAGCTTTCTCTCCTGTGCATTTTCTCACCTCCCTGCCTCTGCTTCCACTAAGTTTAGCTTCAAGTAGAAAATTCTGCATTTACAGCCCTTAGAGACTCCAGAGGTCTGGCTCTCAGTTGGCAGGTTGGAAAACGCTTTCTTAGCAAAGATGAATTGTTTCCTCTTCCGATTTCAGGTAAGGCTGTTTCCAAGTCTCCGATTTCAGGTAAGGCTAAACTCTCCTAGAGGATCTCACTGATGAATGCAAGAAGTAGCTATTATATTCCAATATTTAGACTCTTCCCTACCAAATTCCTCAATGTTGCAGTCTTAGTACTTGGCACAGGGCCTTTAGCACCAAGAGACGATAGGGCTCAGTTCAACCAGCAGCAATACCACCTAAGGGTGGTTCTCAAAAGGCGGTGTGCTGAGACAACAGCATGAATATCACCTGGGAACATATTAAAAATGCAAATCCTAAGCACCCCCTTCTCCTCCCTTTAGGGGGTGGAGCCCAGCCATCTGTTTTCACAAGGCTCCAGGTAATTCTGATGTTTAAATATCACTTCTATTTAATGAGGTCGTTGGCAAATTTCCCCCTACTTCTTCAGGTCAGACGATCCCACGCTTCAGTCGGGGGCTGTTACTGTTCACAGACCCTCTATCTCTGCCCAGACACAGGTCTCTGCATTTCTCAGGATGCTGGTAGTTTGGAGGGGGAGAAAGCAAACAAACCAACCTAACTCAAAGAGGCCTGAATAAATGAGCCTTGTGGCCCCAAGACTGAAGTGTGCTGGCTCCAGGCAAGGAGCCCATGGTAGCCCCCACATCCTGTTTTCTTCCCTGACCTCCGTCCATGTCAGAGTCCTGGGATGGCTGCTGGTACCTTCCAGAGTCACATGAATCCTTGCTCATTGTCTGCAGTGCAGAGAGCCTGTGTCCCCATTGAAGAAAATCTCTAGGTTCTTTTGGATTTGACTGACCCTTAAGTCAGAAACCCAATTTCTAACCAATCACTGTGGCTATGGGGATGCGTTCCATGGATTTGCTTAAGCCAATCAAGGCACATACCTGGATCTGTGAAGTGGATGAATGTCACATAATCTTAAAGCCTGAGAATTATGGGGAAGAGAGGCTTCCCAAGGGAAATGTGGGTTTCTGGTATCAGGAGCAATGTTGGTCAGCAAAAACACGTTCCCTATAATATG